ACCCAAAAGAAAAGATGGCTGCAGGCCTGACATTTATTTGTTTACAAAATAACTCTAAATATCTCAACTCTAGACTTGACTTGGGGCAAATACAGGTCGTTCTAGACAGGACCACAGAGATAGTCCTCGACTTACGACCACAATTGAGCCCGAGTGAAACATTTGCTACGTGGGTTCTTCCCCATTTCACAACTTTTCATGCCTCTGTTGTTAAGCGAATGACTGAAGTTGTTTAGTGAATCTGGATCCCCCCTTGACTTTCTGTGTCAGAAGGTCGCAAGGCGCCCTCGACTTACAACTGTTCGTTTAGCGACTGTTCAAAGTTACAACGGCCCTGGGAAAAAAGTGACTCCTTAGCATTTACCATACGTACGACCGTTGCAGCATCCCCGCGCCCACCTACTCGAAATTCAGACTGTTGGCAAGTGACTCGTCTTTATGACCCTTGCCGTGTCCCCGGGGGGGGCACGTGGTCCCCTTTTGTGACCTTCTGACATGCAAAGTCAGTAGGTAAGCCGGGCTCACTTAACAGCCGGGTGATGTAATTTAACAACTGCAGTGATTCACTTCACAAATGTGTCAAGAAAAGGCCATAAAAATGGGACGAAGCTCATATATATTCCATATATTCTCACTTAGCAGCGTAAATTCCGGGCTCTGCTGTGGTCATAAGTCAAGGACGACCTGTACAGATCCTCTCTCATCGAGAGGTTACGAAGGGAGAGCCAATGTCTTGTTTTAAAGACTTGCAGCGATGGAGAACTAAGTATTCAGCTAATCGGGCTGTGCTGAATCAGAAATTGTCTGTTTGCTGTTTGCTGCAAGGAGGCAAGTCAGTAACTATAAATGCCTGTAGAAGGTTCAAATTATTAGGCTTATTTTTTTAAAGACTGCTTTATTGTTGTTCTAGACAACTTAACAAAATGAGGAAGCTTTTTGATCACCAATCTCTGTTTTTAAAGACTTCCATTGATGGAGAACCGAGTATTTCATGTGGTGGGCTGTTCCACCGGCTGAGGGCTCTGTAAAATCAGGACCTTCTTCCTGATGCCCAGCCTAAAACTCTTTCCTTTCTGCTTAAACCCCCCAGTTCTGGTTCCCTCCCTCTGTTTGCTTGACCCCAAAGGCCATCTTGTTCTTCTTC